GAAAAATTTTACAGACAGAGGAGACCAGTGGTGTGAGTCCAGAGGGTCACAATGAATGGGACATGACTTAGCGACTGAACAACAACAGATAATGTTGCAGTTATTAACATCTGACAGTCAAGAAGACTGATAAGACCTATTTCCTTCCTTAGCGTCAACCAGGGTATTTTGACAAGAAGCTGGAGTTTAAAATGAGCTAAAAAATAAAAATATTAAAAATATTAAAAAATGAGCTAATACTCAATACTGGAAGGAATTAGTGTTTTTAAAATCTCTTCTATGTGAAAAAAATCAGAGCTCACCAGTTTGTTTTTTTTTAAAACAAACCCAAGAGTTTATATTTTGCTAGCTATAAATATTTGTAACAAGGAATTCAGACCAACCTGAAATCTCAAGTAGAATAGGAAACTCTAAGAATCACAGCTTTTATTGTATACACTAGGATTATGAAGCCAGTTAATTACAGTTCTAAACAGTTCATCATAAAATGGTGTATATACTTCCTGTACTACTCCTTTGATGAAAGGAGGGATCTTACTGAATAGTAATTCCTATATAAAGAATATTAAAATGCTACAGATGGCTCAATATAATTGGATATGGATGGGAAATCAACCTTCAAATCTGGTTGAGAAAATAAAAAAGAATTTACAAGATTTATTTCCAATGTAGTAAACAAACATTTTCCACCTATGGCATTGTTGAAGTTAAGATCAATTAATTCTAGCATTGAAACATGTGTATTACCGTATGTGAAATAGATCACCAGTCCAGGTTTGATGCATGAGACAGGGTGCTCAGGGCCGGTGCACTGGGATGACCCTGAGGGATGGGATGGGGAAGGAGGTAGGAGGGGGGTTCGGGATGGGGAACACATGTACACCTATGGCTGATTCATGTGATGTATGGCAAAAACCACTACAATATTGTAGAGTAATCAGCCACATATTAAAATAAACTAATTAATTTTTTTAAAAGATCAATTAATTCTTTGTAAAAAAAAAAAAAAAAGGAAACTATCAAATCTGTTGTCTTTAATGACACCATGATAAAGAACTGTCCATTGTGCTGACAAAAAACTTCCCTGGTGGCTTAGACGGAAAAACATCTGCCTACTATCCGGGAGACCCAGGTTTGATCCCTGGGTTGGGAAGAGCCCCGGGAGAAGGAATGGCAACCCACTCCCATATTGTTGCTTGGGAAAATCCCATGGATGGAGGAGCCTGGTGGGCTACAGTCCATGGGGTGGCAAAGAATCGGACACAACTGAGTGACTTCACTTTCTTTTCTTTCTTTATTGTGCTGACAAGAGCAGTAAAACTCAAAGTTGGTGGTTCTCAAACTGTGGCCCTAGACAAGCAGCATTAGCATCATCTGAAAATTTGTTAGAAATGTGAATTCTCTGACTCAACCCAAGACCTACTAAAGGAAGAATTCTTCATGGGTACTTCTGAGTTTTAACATCCCCTCCAGATAATTCTAGTGGGTGTTCAAGTATGTGAATGAATGAACTATGAAATGGGTCTTTCAAAAAATTCCAGAAATTTTGTTTATTTTGGAGAAACTCGGTCCTTTCTGACCCTCATCTCCTAATCCTACATGTTATGAATCTCTACAGCTTTCAATATTCTTGGTGGGTTTTTGTTTTCTTTTGTTGTTTTGTGTAAGTTTTTGTTGTGGTTTTTGGTTTCTTTGTCTTCTGGCCCAAGGAGAACTTTCCAATAGTAAGTCTTTCTGAAAGACTTTGGAACTTTGAAACAACTCTCATTGTTCCCTTGTTCCCAGCAGGAATCATTCCAGCTCTACTTCCCGAGCCCAGTCTAATCATTTCTCCCTGAGGATATACTCTCTTCCCTAGGGTCATGCCCCTGAGTCCTGTGTGGAAGGGATGGACAGAGAACAGGATGATGTGGGGCTACATAGGGAGGATCCCACCAAAAGATGTAAGACCTCAACCCTCTTCCCCCATTCAGGGCTGAAGGAAGGTGAGAGCCTGAGGGCTTTCCACGCAAGCATATAAGGCAATGGTAGTTAGGTTTTTGGAAACACCAGCTGGAGAATAAATGTGTGACATAGTAGCTAAGTTGGTAAAGAATCTACCTGCATTGCAGGAGACCCCAGTTCTTGATTCCTAGTTCTGGAAGATCTGCTGGAGAAGGGATAGACTACCCACTCCAGTATTCTTGGGCTTCCCTTGTGGCTCAGCTGGGAAAGAATCCACCTGAAATGCAGAAGACCTGGATTCGATCCCTGGGTTGGAAAGATCCCCTGGAGAAGGGAATGGCTACTCACTCTAGTATTCTGGCCTGGAGAACTCCAGGGTCTGTATAGTCCATGGAGTTACAAAAAGTCAGATGACTGAGCGACTTTAATTTGCATTTAACTTTCACATAGACTTGATGGTACTAAATCTAATGTTGGAAGAGAGCTTTGGGAAGTAATTTGGGTGGATGTACTGTTAAAATAACTGCTTCAGGTTGCATTTAAAACCCAGTAATTTTAGCAACCAAGTATAGCATTGCCCTTGTGAGATAGGAAACAGAGGATAAGTAAGTTCACTTATTTTTAAGTGAAACTTAAGTTTCACTTATTTTTATTATATTTCCACATAATCCATTACCTACTTAATACAGTATTTGGCAGCATTCACTGAGCATGTGCTGTTATCAGAGTTTCTGTTCCAAGATCTGGGGTTGCTAAGATATTGAAGTTATGATACAGTTGGTTGAGGGGAGAAAGTGGAAAAAATGAATGATGGTAAATATATAACAGAAGTATTTTTGAAATGTTATAAGAACCCTGAGAATGGGAAATTTCTTCTGCATGGGAGAAAAGGTGACAGGAGTAACAGAGGGTGACATTTGAATGGGCTTTTCTAGATTTGAGAAAGTCAGATCAGAATTCTGGGAAAGCAATATGGAAATAAATAAATAAAATATTTAATAATCTATTGAAAAGCTTGTGGCCCATTGGAGGTTTAGATATTGATAAGGAAGGCAGATGAAAATTACATTTCATAGTCTGTATGACATGCTGAGTTGCATACACTTCTGTGTGTGTTTCTACACTGACTTGATCTGCAGGGTATTAGATGTGGCTTCTAAGGGACTCTGGTGGAATCACTACAAGAATAGATGTAAGAGGGGAACATGATCAGACCAGCATTTAGAAAAGTCTCAGGTACAGCTGTGTAGAAGGCGTACTGAAGGAAGAGAAGATGAAAGTGAAAAAATAAGAAGGGAGTGATCTCTAATGGATAATGGATCTGGGGAGTCAGATGAGAGCAAGTGGAGACTGAAAGGAAGTGGAAGGGGGGGGGTCACCAATCATTCTATCTCTCACCCTCCGAGAGTCTTTTTTCACCTTTGGTCCCAATTTCTCCTCTGCCCCTTCATCTTTCTATTTCCCATCCTTCACTCATTCTATCTCCACATCTTTTTTCCTTTTAAATTTCTTCTTTCATTCAATTCTTCACCTATTTCCATTTCTTCTCCTTCAATAATTTTCTTTCTCTTCTATTGGATTGGATTCACCAACTTCTGAAATTGCTGTCTTTTCAGAAGAGCTCTAAGTCTCCTGTTCAAACAATATATTCATCTATGTCTGTACTAATTAGTTACACTTCTGCCACTTGACTCCGCCTATGTGGTGGGTGAGGTGAGCCTCACTCAGTAAGGGGCTACCTACCATGGAGGATGGGGAAATATGAAATGTCCCAGGTGTGCAGTTGTGGCCAGAGGTTCTCCTGCATGGACTTGCATATTTCACTCATGCTAGAATTAATACAAGGTACTTATTAGTTACTGACTAACAGCAAGGATGATCACTGCAGGGCACAAATAAATTCTGAAATGAAGGTTGTATCAATAGCACATTTTCATTGAATTGTAGAATAAAAACATAGACACATGAAAAAGTTCATTAACATTATTATCTGTTAACTGTTGCATGAAAGAAAAATGATTGGTACAAAAATGTATTAGAGACTGGAAAAGGGAGAATATCTTAAGAGTAGGAGACTACACAGAGGAGAGTAATTACCAATTATTGTTTTAGACACTGTTCTAGAAAACGTATGTGTTATTTTATTCAAACTCCGAGACAAATTTAAAATCTGAGACTCAGATAAGAGATTTACTCAAGGTCAAATCTCAGAGAAATGTAAAGTTATGAACTTTACATTTCCCAACTCTGTTGGGCTCTATGTGTCTTCTCACCACTCTATTACCACTGAATCTTTGAAAAGCAGGTTGCATATGTCTCTAGATCAGTTTAAGGTATCTTGTGAATGTGTACTCCAGTATCAGCTCTCCAAAGACAAGATCATTTATATCAGCCCGGGGTATTATGATCTGCACATCAGGGTGTCCTTTGTCTGGACTTGGACAGTTGCTTTGAGTCACTGAGCACTAGAATGACACATAGTAACTTCATGCATCTCTGTTTGTGGTGTGTTTTCTTTAGGTGTATGGAGAAGACAGCGTCGATTCAGGGAACCACACAATGGTGTCAGAGTTTGTCTTCCTGGGGCTCACAGACTCAAGAGCTCCAGCTCTTCTTGTTCCTGGTGTTTCTGTTTGTCTAAACCACCACTGTCATGGGAAACCACCTCATCATGGTCATGGTGACCTCTGATTCCAGGCTCCACACACCCATGTATCTCCTGCTGCCAAACCTGGCTGTCTTAGATTTCTGTTTCTCCTCAGTCACTGCCCCAAAGATGCTGGTGGACATCCTCACTGAGAAGAAGACCATCTTCTACCAGGGCTGCATGGCCCAGATTTTCTTTTTTCAGCTCTTGGGAGGTGGGACTGTCTTCTTCCTCCCAGTGTTAGCCTGGGACCACTACATAGCCATCTGCCGGCCCCTCGACTATGTCACCATCATGAACACTCGAGTGTGTGTAGGGCTGGTAGTGGCTGCCTGGGTAAGGGCCTTTGTCCACTCCATTTTCCAGCTGATTCTGATGCTCCCATTACCTTTCTGTGGCCCCAACACAGTTATCCAACCCTTGGATAACTTTTACTGTGACATTCCACAAGTGCTGAGACTGGCCTGCATGGACACCTCCCTCCTGGAGTTCCTTATGATCTCCAACAGTAGGATGCTGGTCCTCATCTGGTTCCTCCTCCTCCTGATCTCTTACACAGTCATCCTGGTGATGCTGAGGTCCCACTCAGGGAAGGCGAGGAGGAAGGCAGCTTCCACCTGCACCACCCACATCATCATTGTTTCTGATTTTTATTCCCAGTATCTATATCTATGTTTTACCCTTCACTTCCTTTCCCATGGACAAAGCTGTGTCTATCAGCGACACCATCTTGACCCCTATGCTCAACCCCATCATCTATGCACTGAGGAATCAGAAGATGCAGGCAACCATGAAGAGATTAGGCGAATGCCTAGTGATTTCCAGCAGAAAGTGAACTTAGATTGACATTAGATGACAAATGTTTTCTCTGAACTGTTTTCCCGTGTGAGAAGTGGACAAAAGGTTTTATTGAGTGTGCCAGGTATTGTGTTAGGCACTTTCATACTTTTGTGTCATTCTCAGAAAAGTGACAGTGGGTATGCTATTATTATTATTAATATATTATTAAACAGTTTTGTCCACCCCTGGTTCCTCAATGGTAAAGAATGTGCTTGCCAATGCAGGAGACATGAGTTCAATCCCTGGGTCAGAAAGATCCCCTGGAGGAGGAAATAGCAACCCACTCCAATATGCTTGCTTGGGAAATCCCATGGACAGAGGAGCCTGGTGGGCTAGAGTCCTTGGTATCCCAGAGAGTTGGATGTGACTTAGCAACTAAATGGACAAATCAGTTTTACAAAGGGGAAAACTCAGACAGAAGTGACTTGCTCAATAATGAGGAGCGAGTGAGGTGAAGATCTGGGCTAGGGGAGATTTTCTCTGACTGCAAGTTTCGAGGCAGAGGATACAGGTAGAATTTGAAACTCAGGGTCTCAGACAATCACAGGGGAAAACTTAGAAAGTTCCTCTTCTATGGATAAATATCTGTGATGAATGCTCCATATTTTCATTTCAACTCTGAAGCAATCACATTTGTTTTGCTCTCTGTCTCTCTGCCTCAACCTCACTGTAGTATTTTGAAAGTGATCTCACTTGTAACATTGTCTGAAAATTCCCATAAGTGTATTTTCCTTTTGGATTTGTTCCTTTTCTACCAAATACTCTTTGGATAATATGAAAACTATTCTACTTTCCGAACCAAATCTTTACATCATTAGTATGATGTGGCTAAGAAGAAGATGCTCTAGGATGGTTGGGGAACCAAGGCCAGAGAGGGCAGGACCATGTCTATTAGTGGTCCTGATCTGAGGTATGGGTTCAGTCCAAGGCTGCTGCCTCATGGGGTTTTGCCTTTCTCTTTGACTGCCTACCCTGGAATGAGGGCTTCTTGAGGGTGGGGGCTGTACTTTATTCATCTTTAAATCCTCTCAGGACCTAGACATTATCTTATTCAAATAGGCATTTCTACTTTTTCTTGCATACTGTTCTTTCCCTGTGAGTTCTAATCTTCTTTTATCTCTGTATAAAGTGAGATGAAAGTTGCTCAGTCATGTTCAACTCTTTGCGACCCCATGGACTATACAGTCCCTGGCATTCTCCAGGCCAGAATACTGGAGTAGGTAGCTGTTCCCTTCTTCAGGGGATCTTCCCAGCCCAGGGATCAAACCCAGATCTCCCACATTGCAGGCAGATTCTTTACCAGCTGAGCTCCCAGGGGAGCCCCACATCTCTGTATAACTTGTATTTATTTACCCCATTTCACTGAAGTATGTTTCCCTTCGTTAAAATCTTGGGCAGTGTATAACATTGCTCCAAAGTTAAGAAGAGAATAGAAAGCTTTTTGTTTCCTCTTCCCTCCCAGCAACCATCCCATCCAGGAAATAAAAGTTACAGACTCTTCAAGCCATCATGGCAGCTCTGAATTCATCCTTTCTTCACTGATACTTCCCTGTCCCATTCACACATTTCTCCCCATTTGCAGTGGGTGTTTGGAGATGACAGGAGAGAAAATGAACTCTGTCATATTTGATCTGGGAGGCCCCACAGAACAGTGTTTTCCCATTCATGCCTAAGTCCTTTAAATATTTGACAGTACTTTTCTCATCCTCTAATTTGTCTCTTTTCCAGATGCAGCATCTACATTCCTTCAATTATTTCCATTGTGACAAGTTTCCTGATTCCAACATCCTGACCATCTCCTCTGTATTTGCTTTCATATGATCACATGGCTCATAAAATGTGATGCTCAGCATATGACACACAATTATATGGGGGGTGTGAATTCTTTTGGACACTATGATAGACCTCTTTGAAATACACATCCATAAGGATGCTTTTCATTGCAAGTAGCAACATAACCAGATCACAGTGGCTTAAAGAATGAGGAGATTATCTCACTTAGAAAGATTAGAGGATACACAATTGTATAGTTGGCTAATTTATCAACTCCAACATTTTAGGATCTGTTTTGGCTGCTCTATAATTCCCTGTCTTTCCCATAATGATGGCAATATGGCTTCCAAAACTTCAGTCATTGTATCTTTTTAAAAAACTTTTAATTGAAGGATAATTGCTTTATAGCATTTTGTGGTTTTCTGTCATACATCAACAAGAATCAGCCATAAGTACACCCATGTCCCCTCATTCCCAGACCTCCCTCCCCTCTCCCTGACCACCCCACCCTTCAGCCTGTTGCAGAGCCCCTGTTTGAGTTCCCTGGGTCACACAGTAAATTCCCATCGGCTGTCTGTTTTACATACGGTATTGTAAATTTCTATCTCTCCATACATCTCCCCCTCTCCCTCCTCTCCTCCCACTGTGTCCATGGGTCTGTTCTCTGTTTCTCCATTGCTGCCCTGAAAATAAATTCATCAGTGCCATCTCTTCAAATTCTATATATATGTGTCAGCATATGATATTTATATTTCTCTTTCTGACTAACTTCACTCTGAATAATGGGCTCTATTTTCACTTCATTAAAACACATTCAAATGCATTCCTTTTTATGGTTGAGTAGTATTCCATTGTATGTATGTAACACAGCTTCTTTATCCATTCATCTGTTGATGGACATCTAGGTTGCTTCCATGTTCTAGTGATTGTAAAAAGTGCTGTAGTGAACATTTGGGATACATGTGTCTTTTTCCGTTTTTATTTCCTCAGGGGGTAAATGCTTAGGAGTGGGATTGCTGGGTCATGTGGTGGTTTTACTCTAAGCTTTTTAAGGAGTCTCCATACCATCTTCCATATGACTGTATCAGTTTACATTCCCACCAACAGTTCAAGAATGTTCCCTTTTCTCCCCACCCTCTCCAGCATTTATTGTTTGTAGATTTTTTTAAGATGGCCATAGTGACCCTTGTGAAGTGGTATCTCATTGTAGTTTTTTAATTTATTTTTTAATTGAAGGATAATTGCTTTACAGAATTTTGTTGCTTTCTGTCAAACCTCAACATGAATCAGCCATAGGAATACATAAATCCCCTCCCTTTTGAACCTCCCATTTCCCTTCCCATCCCACCCCTCTAGGTTCTTTCCTTGTGTTTAGCCTTTGTTAATTTGATTAGTATGTATCTTGGCTTGTTTCTCGTTGGGTTTATCCTGTATGGGACTCTTTGAACCTCTTGGATTTGACTATCTCCTTCTCCATGTTGGGGGAATTTTCAACTATAATCTTTTCAAAAATTTTCTCATACCCTTTCTTCTCTTCATCTTCTGGGACCCCTATAATTCACATATGGTGCATTTGATATTGTCCCAGAGGCCTCTGAGACTATGCTCAGTTCTTCTCATTCTTTTTTACTATATGCTGCTCTTCAGAAGTTATTTCCACCATTTTATCTTCCAGCTCACTGATTCGTTCTTCTGCTTCAGATATTCTGTTATTGATTCTTTCTAGAGTATGCTTAATTTCAGTAATTGTGTTGTTTGCCTCTGTATGTTTATTCTTTAGTTCTATATCTTTTTAAATTGATTCTTGCATTTTCTCCATTTTGTTTTCAAGGTTTTTGATCATCTTTACTATCACTATTCTGAATTCTTTTCAGGTATTTTGCCTCTTTCCTCTTCATTTATTTGGACTTCTGGGTTTCTAGTTTGTTCCTTCATTTGTGTAGTATTTCTCTGCCTTTTCTTTTATTTATTTATTTTTATTAGTTGGAAGCTAATTACTTTACATCATTGCAGTGGTTTTTGTCATACATTGACATGAATTAGCCATGGATTTACATGTATTCCCCATCCCAATCCACCCTCCCACCTCCCTCTCGACCCAATCCCTTTGGCTCTTCCCAGTGCACCAGGTCCGAGCACTTTGTCTCTGCCTTTTCAATTTTTTTTTTTTAGCTTATTGTGTTTGAGGTCTTCTTTTCCCAGGCCTCAAGGTTGAATTCTTTCTTCATTTTGGTTTCTGCCTTCCTAAGGTTGGTCCAGTTGTTTGTGTAAGCTTTGTATAGGGTGAGATTTGTGCTCAGTTTTTGTGGTTGTTGTTTTTCCCCTGAAGGGCAAGGCTGAGTGAGGTGGTAATCCTGTCTGGCTATGATTTGGTTTGTATTTTTTGTTGTTGTTGTTTAGATGAGGTGTCCTGCACAGAGTGCTACTGGTGGTTGGGTGATGCCGGGTCTTGTTTCAAGTGGTTTCCTTTGTGTGAGTTCTCACTATTTGATACTCCCTAGTGTTAGTTCTCTGGTAGTTAGTGTCTTGGAATCAGTGCTCCCACTCCAAAGGATAAGGGCTTGACCCCTGGTGAGAAATAAAGATTCCACAAGTGGTTTGTTATGGCATTAAGTGAGATTAAATCAAATACCCAAAATCAAGAAACCAAAGATGAACTCCAGACAAATGGCAGTTACAAAATCAGGCAAATAATAATTAAAATAATAGAATATACACATATACACTCATGAACAATGTCAAAACACTCCAACAAAAATAAAGTACAGCAGATTCATCTGGAAAACAAAGGAAATAAAATTTATATTTACCAGTTAAGAATAAAACTAACTAAAGCACAAACTGGAAAACAATATTAAAGCCAGGTGCCAAGTGGGTAATAAAGCAATGAAAACAAAACTAACAAATATGTTGAGAGGAAAGGACAGAAAGAAAAGAAAGAAAGAATAGGTATTCAAAGTTAAATAGAGGTAGATGAAGATTTATGTACATTAAAGATTGACTGCAAAGGGAAAAGAATAGGAAAGGCAAACAAAGAAATAAATGTAGAAAAAATATAATGGGTTTAAAAATTAAAAATTAATATTATAAAGAAGAGGAAAGGGGGAAAAGGCAGAAAAAATAAAATGGGGTGGGGGGAAGGGGGAGAACTCCACAGAACTGTAAAAGCCCAATGTAGACACAGAGGTTTATAACAACAATAAAAAGTGTGACTGAATATAT